GCTCGGCGGGCCACAAAGATGGTCCTTGTGGGCCGCGAGTTTCACATGCTTGGGTTACAGGGTGCTCATGGAAATTGTTTTTCCTTCAATTATGATACAGTCTCATCCATGCCCTTTGTTTACGTATTCTTTGGCCAAGTGTTAATACAGCATATTAACGACATTTGCTTTAATTTCTTTACTACGGTTTACTTTTGCTACCTTAAACTTAATTATTACACAACAACAAAATATATCTCATTCATGAAATATGTCAGAACATTATTCAAGAAGACCAGGTCTTAACCCTTCCATTATTCTGGTCACTTTTTAGGGGCGGCATCCATGGGTTCAAGCAGGTTTCTCCGTAACCAGTTCAAGAAATACGCACTGCCTTTAAAGAAATGTCTCGATAAGACATGTGTATATTGTTGACTGTAGTAAAATTGCATTAAATCTATTTTTGCCCTCCCTTATTTACAGGCCCTACCGCATCGTCAGTTCCGGCACACCACAACCGACTTGATCTTGTATTCCAAACTACTCTTATACTTATCTCTTACTCCATATATAGCCTTTTTGCCCCTAACACAAGTAACAAGGCAGTTTGGCGGCAATTGTGGGAGGGGCATGTGTTTTCCCTACTTACCTTACTCCACACCGTTCGTGGTCTAACAATTTGTATGGCCCTCCCTCCACTCCCACTACTCAACATATCCTCCCTTTACCCTTAGGTGGGCTCTCTTTTATTTACAGGCCTACCGCATAGTTGGTTCCGGCACACCACAACCGACTCCATACACCGCCTTTTTGCCCCTAACACAAATATATATGTGTGTGTCTGTTAAAGCAGAGCCTGGAGTTGTTAGAGCGGTTACCCAACCTATTAAAGCTCAAGACACACCTTACTATATATATATATATATATATATATATATATATATATATATATACACACTTGTATTGACTGCTATGCTTTATGCCAGCATTTTATTAATGGTTTTATTTATAATTTTAACGTTCCCATTAATGGTGCTTCAGACATGTTTATTGTGATGCTAATTTTTGTTACTTTTGGTTTTTATATATATATTAATTATTATCTCGTTCGGTAGTTTGAATCCCACGAACAAGGGAAATTACATTAAACCTCCCCAGCTCTCCTAACATAAGTAATTTGTGTGTTACATTCCCTTTTCTGTGACCGACCGCAGGCCCAAAACACATGGAGCCCTTTTCGGCTGGTAAACCCAGTGCGGTCGGTCATTTTAGTACTTCCATAAATTTCCCGAACCCCTGGTCCGATCTGGGTGATTTTTGGATGTGTCTCACCCAGATCAGGACTACCAGGGGATGTAACAGTTAAAGGGGTACCCCTAAGTTTAGGGGTACATCTAGAAACTCAGGGAATTTGTGTCCTGCATAAGAGGATTACACTAAGGTGGCCACTCATGGAGGTTTGGCTACTGTACTAATTATTGCAAATCCCTCCCTTGCAAGGCAGAATGCTTTATAAGGAAGTTGTGTGCATTAAAAGTCAGTTCTGCTCCTGATGCTGTGTGTCGTCCAGTCATTGGGATCTGTATGGGGATATTCGTGGATTACCTTGCTTGCTGGAATTATTACTTCATGGTATTTTTACTACTTTTTCCTGAGCCTCACTGGGATCTCTAGTGGAGTTAACCTGGGGAATACCAGGCCTCCGCTACAGGCCGTCATTGTGCGGTTCATGGTACTGACCCTACATCTGGTTCCGGTTCAAATAGCAGCTTCCCTGATACTCTGCAAACAGCTACAAGCAGAAGGCCCAATACAAGTGGGTCTTAGATCATCTTGCACTTCAACAACGTTTGCAGTCTGACGGGGGAATAAAGTTTAAAGCTTCCAAAACGAAATTCAGCTGCCGGCGTCAGGCCCACCCACTTGTGGCCTTCACGGATCACATCCGCAAAACAGTGCCAACATGATCAGGACCATCCCTGGGTTGAAGGAGCAGGTATTCAGCCCAACCATGAATTCCCCATACCTAGTGTGTCTGCACATGTCGGCTCTAAACAGTGAGTTGTTTCTGCCAGCTTATGCAAAATACGTAATTCATGCTTGTTCGGCTTTCTTATTTACAAATTGCATATGGTCTATTTACAAGTACAGTCGGCCCTCATTCTACCTAATCATATTCGCACGTCAGGAGTTTGTGTTATGTTCGGTTTATTATTCATCCTAGTACATAGAATATAACAAGTGATAACTATCTGTACAATTTGTCCTACAGGGTTATTCAATATAAATCGGTTATGGAATGTTCTATTGTAGTTAAGTAATTTTGGCCTTTACTGGCACAATACATGTGTTTTATTTGTATGTTCAATTGTGACTAAATATATTCAACCTGTATAGGAGAGATATTAGTTACATCCATGTAGTACTCTTTATCTATTGTCAAGGTACATAACATTAGATACTTACCAATTGTTATAATTTGTGTTTTAGGTTTCGACCTTACATTATTTTCACAAGTGTCGATCCACATACACACCGTACAAGATACCCAGGTACTCCAACAAAAAAATTCGGCTTTCATCTAACCTCCTTAGCACCCATCTGGGAAAATGTTATAGGTGCATGTGAGAATGAGGTCACCGCACAGCTTGACTGCGTGGCATCGCAGCCAAGTTGTCAAGAGCGGGGATAAGTGAGAGTAATCGATCCAGACAGGCTTGTAGATGCAGGAAAGCCATAGGCCCCAGTGGGATGGCCATTTTAGGTGGTAGGTCTGAATTTGCGAACCCAAAAGGACAAAGGACAAATTCATTGGAATTGAACCCGTGCATATATTTTGTACCATTTATATTTTAATTTTTAAGAATCCTATCTATTTTTAAAACACAAAAAATGCTTTCTCAAATACATTAATTGGATAAGCTCTAGACAGTTATCTGTCCCTCAAATTGCATGACTGCATAACACAATGCTCAAGATTTGAATATTTACGAATACTAATATTGACATATAACTGACTCATTGCTATACTGTACATGGTATTCTATAGACTGAAATCGCAACTATATAGTTCAGCAAGGAAAGTTTCAAGTCAGAAAATGTTATGCTCCAAGTGTGATATTTTAATATAAATTTAAAATTAAAGGGGTACTATAAAGCATCAAATCAATACTGACAGCCACTAGACGCACTTCCACTGCACAACTCTGTCATGTGTCACTGAAGCTCATACGATAGCACTGGAGGCGTGCCACTCGCAGTGCATGTGCATCGGGTCCACTCTGCTACTCTACGAGAAGCATTGGAATGGACCATTGGTGGAGGGGAGGGGGTGGGAGTCAAGCCTCCTCAATGTTGCAGAAGGTACAGCAGTAAGCAGCTCTGAGAGATTCTAAGTGCTGGAAAAAGGTAAGTAAAATCTTTTTTTCTAAATAACTGAACCATTTAAAATGGACATTTTTACTCTTAATGTTTGAATGCTGTTTTCAATTGTTTAAAAAGTTGTAACTGGTGACTTAAATGCAGTCTTCTACAACTGTTTAATGGTCTCAGCCATAGTTTCATATTCACCTCTCCAATAAATGAATGTTTAAAGTTGTATTCTCACCTGTTTTGTTTTGCAAATTCCATTCTAAATAAATCATACAAAGCATTATATATGCATGTCTGTGGAAATTTAAACCCTAAAAAATATTTAGATAAAATAATTGATACCATTGGTATAGCTATAATAGAAAAAAAAATATTCAAGACCTTACATTAGATAAATGGACTAGATCTGGCATTATTAAGGTGGCTGACCTTTATACCAATAGGAAAATGAAAACTTTCTCCGAGCTGAACTTCAAATACAATCTACCTGCTAAGGAAATGTTTAACCTAAGAGTTAAGGGCTTCTTACCGAAAGCAATGTTAAAAGGAGACTAACAAAAACTGGGACTTTTGAAAAATATATTTTGCGAATAAATAGTCCCTAAGGTCATGTCAAAATTTATTAATGACAACCCATTTCTTTGTTGCCACAAAACACCTAGCATGACACTGGAAATCAAAAGACTCAATAAGCTGGTTAAGCCTGAATAGCCAAATCGTATTCCAGTGCAGAATGGAAGGAGGGCTAAAATGGCTCAACAAGACCAGTTAAATATTATTCATATTCAGAGTTGGCTAGATAAACTGAAAAGTATGTAATACGAGCAACGATTTTACTTAGTAAAATAGATTGACTAGAAGTATTATTTCTGTCTAATCATCCCTTTTCGGTAAAATTATGGCAATTCACTTACCCCCGGTGACCTGGCAATGATTGTTTTTTTTTTTTGGGGGGGGGTCTGTATTGTTATGTTGTTTTTGCTAGACATAACGACTTTTGCATTTTCTGATGGAAGTATCCTGGCAAACCCTAACAGGATCCATAAAGTTCTTATATGCATGGGATATTGTTAATGATATACAATAATGTCTATATGTTTTATGCATGTGTATTTATATTGAAGGACCACTATAGTGCCAGGAAAACATACTCGTTTTCCTGGCACTACAGTGCCCTGAGGGTGCCCCCACCCTCAGGATCCCCCTCCCGCCCGGCTCTGGAAAGGGGAAAAGGGGTAAAACTTACCTTTTTCCAGCGCTGGGCGGGGAGCTCTCTGCCTCCGATCCTCCTCCGTTCCGCCCCGTCGGCTGAATGCGCGTGCAGCCAGTCGCATAGGAAAGCATTATCAATGCTTTCCTATGGACGCTTGCGTGCTCTCACTGTGATTTTCAGTGAGAATCACGCAAGCGCCTCTAGCGGCTGTCAATGAGACAGCCTCTAGAGGATTTGGGGGAAGGCTTAACCCATTGATAAACATAGCAGTTTCTCTGAAACTGCTATGTTTATAAAAAAATGGGTTAACCCTAGCTGGACCTGGCACCCAGACCACTTCATTAGGCTGAAGTGGTCTGGGTGCCTAGAGTGGTCCTTTAATATATACATTATACAAGAATACCAAAACAAGAAACAAAAAATATTAAGCAAATTAGGCAGGTCATGGTAGCATTGGTTTATTTTACAGTGTAGAAGGCCCAAAATAATGCAAATGCTTTCATTAAAGCAGGTTTTTAAAATATCAAATGGAAACATTCATTTTAAGAATTACACAGAAGTTAATTTTACCCACAAAAAAATATTAAAGAAAAGATTTTTTTTATGTATAATCTGATTTCACTGCATTTCTGCAAAAATAAAAATAAATGTGATATATAAAGAGTACAATACTTATTTTAACACAGTCCTGGCACTGCTCACTTTACAAAGAAATAGATCTTTACAATAAAACTCAAAAGAACATGTTGATTTATCCACACTTATTTACAGAGAGGTACTAATGTAAAACAAAAAGTATAAGCTGGACACTTAAAATAAGTTAACTTTAGAAGGTTTTATTCTCTAGACAGTAAATGTTGTTGAATTAAAAACTGAATTGCAGAACTTAGATCAAAATAGCCAGGGTGAAAAAAAATCAGCCCAATTGTAGAATTTGTGTCATGCAGCTAGTATTCCCCAAATTTTGCAATTAAAGGAACACTATAGTCACCAGAACAACTACAGTTTAATGTAGTTGTTCTGGTGAGTATAACAGCTCCCTTCAGGCATTTTCATTTAAACACTGCCGTTTACATTACCTTTGGGACACCTCCTAGTGGCCACTGGAGGGGCTTCCTGGCTCAGAGCTGCACAGTTCAGCGTCCCCACATTCTGCATGGAGACGCTGAATTTTCCTCATAGAGATGCACTGATTCAATGCATCTCTATGAGGAGGTCCTGATTGGCCAAAACGGCATTTGGCCCCCATGCCGATTTTAGCCAATCCAATGCTTTTCATTGGCTAAAAATCAGTAATTTTGATGACGTCACAAAGGGGGCAGAGCCAGCGACGGCAGACTAGCACGACGCTGGAAATAAGGTGAGTTTTAAACTTTTATAGGGGGGCCAAGCCACCTAAATGGTGGGTTTAGCACTATAGGGTCAGGAATACATGACCCTATAGTGATCCGTTGAACATGTAAGATTTTTTTTTTTCCCACCTTCAAACATTGTGCAGTAGTAACAAATGAACCTTTGGTGACTGCGTTGTAGAAAAATAGTATAAAAAAAAAAATAGAAACCAAATATATATTCCTCACCTTATAAAATCTGACACTGCAAATTTGATGTTCAAGCGATACTAAAGGCATTTTTTGTTTGATGATTAGTGTGCTTGATTGTGCACATGCAAGTACTGCTGGTTAAAAAAAAAAAAAAAAATATATATTTTGTTGCAGGAAATCCAGTCCCATGTGCCCTGCTAAAAAAAAAGTTTTCATTATAACCTGAGTAACAGGACATCCACTGCTGTTAATCACAACTGTTCTGTGTATCTAGGATCAGGTGAACAGATGATAACTAACCCTCTGTCTTATTTTACACAAGGAAGTGATTCAAATCAGTTCTGGTTTGCTTTTCAAAAACTGATCATGCAACAAATCTTTTTATTTTTTTAACTTAAATGGTTTTCGATCATGTTAATGTTTTGGGATTACTGATTTGATGATGCAAATAATAGTATTGCAGATTAGGAATGGTCCATTGATTGGACAATTGCACACTTATCAGTTAAAAACACAATTTCTTTAGAAAATAATAGAGTTTATAAGATTGGGCTTGCAGGGACATGGTTAATATCAAAAATTAACTTCCTAGCGGGTGTCAGATTCACCTTATTTAGTGTGTGTGTATGTATGTATGTATGTATGTATGTCTGTCTGTCTCGTTCACAGAACTGGTCACGATCCATTAAATCATTTTGATCCTAAGTGGCTTACCAAGTCAAAAAAGAAAACAAAAAGAAATTGAAAAAATATATATAAAAATGTACATTTTTTTTCTCCTGAAACCGCATTAATAATTTCTCTTAAATAAAGAGGACTGCAACATGGCACTCTGCAGAGAAATGTCATACTGGCCCCTTTTACAATAATAGTTTGAAGTCCTTAATTCCAGTTTCTAACTTGGCAGGTTTGCTAGCTGTCAGTACCCTCGTCTTCTTCATACTCATCATCTTCGTCGTCATCGTCCTTTCTGTCTACTTCAGAAGTGTCTGAGGACTCATGAAGAATGACATACTCCCTGCTACTAAAACCAAATTTTAGTACATCCTTTTCCTTAAGTTCATAGTACCGCTGTGCTTCAATGCGCTGGTTATTTAGGTAAGTTCCATTGCCAGAACCAAGATCAATAATGTAAGGCCTTACACGGCGTCCAAGTGTTCCATTAGCACGGGTGAATGATACCATTCTGAAACAAAATAATTAAAATAATTAATTTGTAAGAGTAATTCTATTATTATGTACAAATATGTTCATCTTCATTGTTATTTAATGTCCTCATAATTTAATTTACTGGCCAGGAAGTGCATACGATTGGCTGATATTAACAATTTTAGGTTTTTTTCCCCAGTTGCCTATTCCTCTGCTGATTCTGCAGGCACACCTAACTGACCTCTGCATCCTTTGCAATCTGCTCCAAGACTGTATTAATGGAAACGGGAGAGGCAAACTAACACTAGGAACATCCTAGAGTACAGATCTAACAGAGTTATAGTTGGTAATTGTTAACATGCAAACAGTAAGCTAACCTCAGACATATTAACTTCACTATGGGAGAGAGAACACTAAAGGAGAACTCACAAAATAACACTCCATGTACCATAAGCTCTACAGTGAGCTGGAGCTCCCCCACAACTCACCAATGTAAATGGTCCTAGGTTTGCTACTAGCTTCCGCTAAAGGACCAGTTTGGGCACCATAATAACTTCATCAAAGCGAAGTTGTTATGATCACAGGTGGTTTGTTTCTTTTACAGCCAGGTTTATGAATAGGGAACCAATGATTAGCTGAGAGCGGCAGATAACGACTCTCAGGCAATCAGCAGTAACTCTGCATGAGTTTTCTGGTTTCCCCGTTTTGAGAAAACAGAGGCAGGTAAATTCGGCAAAGGAACACAGACTGTGTGGTAACCCCTTAAGGCGAGCCATCACCAAGGTCTTTCATTTTGATTAAGTCGTCATGGTACCCTTAGTATTCCTTTAAGCTCTGCTGACCTAAGCCTTGCCGATCTCCCACAGCAAATGACCTGAATCTGGCGGGCCCTAGGAAAGAAGTCAAAATGCTATGATGGCATCACTCTTTAGAATTAAAAAAAACAAAAAGAAAACTCCTATAGAACTCTCTTGATCCTAGATCTTCTGTTATATACAAATTTAATATGGCTTACACATAATATTCCATTATAACACTTAATACAAAAAGAAAAAGTGTGCAACAATTACCTATACTGGAGAACAGCATGTTGTTTTGAGCAAGATGGGTGGTCTATAGGTATGTCAGCAATACGTCTCTGCCTTCCGAGGAGATATGCACTTTGCCTGTGGATGTACATGACAGGGAGGGCTTCATCATTTTTAAACGGGTAGAGACGCCAGCGCTTCTTTGGGATACGAGATTCTGCTGGCTCACTGTATTTGATCACAACTCCTCTGAAAGTATTGGTATCTTCCAACAATGCACCAGACAGTTCAAAGTTGGGTTTCTCCTTATTAGCTGGAGCAGTACTAGTATCTGTACTCTGACTCTCCAACTGTTCTTCTTGCTCTGATCTCTGACGTCTCTCTCTCCTTCTTTCATTATGAAATTCCCGCTCTGCTGCCTGGTCTCTCAAGTTATGTTCTTCTCGATCTCTCTCTCTAGGCCGGGAAATGTTATACCGACCTCTGTCTGTGTGGTCTCTGTTTCTATTCTGTCTGTGATTTTCCTCCCAACTTTCTCTGGGTTGTCTCTCCTCATTTGACCTGTGAGAATGTTCTTGTTTCTCCTATTAATAAATTAAACAAATTGTATAGTTATAAACCATGCTTATAAAATGACAGCAAGTACATTCATATACATCTCTGCAAATTTTTGGCTAGTTAACAAGTTAAAAAACAAAAAACAAAAAAGGAAACACCAAAACCTACTGTAGCTTAATAATTAAATTTATATAGCGCCATCTAATTCTGCAGTGCTTAATGAAGAGGTTTGGTTGTACAGATCATGCCCTGCATTCTAACTGTTTAATTCTCTGCCATCTAGGCGTTAAATCTATTTGTTTTTGCATACCTAACCTCACCTACACACTTCCTGTAAAGAGAGATCTAATGTTTAAACTTCCTTTACAGCAGTGTGTTTAATTTAGAATATCTTATATCCTGCTCTGTTAATTGCCTCCTATAGTCTGCAGGAAACTCCTGTGTAAGATTAAAGTTCAATTAACAGAGCTAGAGATTAAAAAAAAACAAAAAAAACCTAAGAGAACACACAGAAAATGTATTCATACTTACCGTCATTTTTCCCTGATATACAGTCATGGGAAAAAAAACTTACACCTTCTTTGAATTATATGGTTTTACATATATTATGGTTTATATGGTTTTAATATATCAAGACATAACAATAATCTGTTCCTTAGCAATTAAATACAAGATCATATGAACAAAAACACATGACATTTTACACTGTCATGATTTATTTAACAAAAATAAAGCTAAAAATGAGAAGCCATGTGTGAAAAACCAAGCACACCCTTACTACTTACATACATATTTAGATGCCAAGTAGCAGACAGGTACTGCTAATCAAACAATTAATTGATCATCAGCAAGTGTGACCACAACCTCTATAAAATACAAAGTTTTAATAGTTGCTCGTCTGGAGCATTCAGGTGTGTTCATACAATGCCAAGGAGGAACAATATCAGCAATGTCTTTGAGAAGTAATTGTTGCTGCCCATCAAACTGGGAAATGTTATTTCCAAACAATTTAAAGTCTATCATTCTACAGTGAGAGATTATTCAAAAGTGGAAAACATTCAAGACAGTTGCCAATCTTCCCAGGAGTGGACGTCCCAGCAAATTCACCCCAAGGCCAGACCATGCAATGCTCAGAGAAATTGCAACAAAAAAAAAAACAACAACAAGAGTTACACTTCAGACTCTACATGCCTCAGTTAGCATGCTAAATGTAATTACTCTACAATTAGAAAAAGACTGACTTGTTTGGAACGTTTGCCAGTAGAAAGCCTTTTCTTTCAAAAAAGAAGATGGAAGCATAGCTTAGGTTGCATGTGAGCAAACCACAAGATTTCTGGAACAATGTCCCAATGTCCCTTGGGCAGATGAGACCAAACTGAAAAAGTCTTTCCATAATGCTAAGCACTACGTTTGACAAAACCCAAACAGATCATATCGGCACAAACACCTTCTGGCACAGCAAGGTGCAGCCAGTTCATCTATGTAATTTGTGTAGTGCATAGATGAACTGGCTGCTTGGTAGAGGTGGTATTGTCAATTCCAAAAGGGGTTAATTTGATTGTATGGGAGGGAAGAAGGTTTACAGCCTAAATTCCTCTTTGAAGCTGGGACCCCAATAAAGCTACTCTGTAAGGTGTGAGAAGTCACACATAAGTGGCCTGGACGTCTGGTTTAAATATAAACTAACTCTCTAATTTGTCATGTGTCTAGATTCCCTCTTAGATAAGGGGTCTTTTGATATGTTAATGGCCAGTAGCCTTGTGTTCCAGTATCATATCCAAACGAAACATTAATACTTACCCACAGATTAATAATTACGCCTCATTTTTATTATAGTTAGAAGGAGACAAGCACATCTACAACAGAATGACTGACAAATTAAAGAATCAAGGTCTTGCAATGGTCAAGTTAAAGTCCAAACCTCAATCTAGCTGAAGTGCTGTGGCGGGACCTTAAATGTCAGGAAGCCTCAATGAACTGAAGAAACGTTGAAAACAGTGGACCAAAATTCCTCCCAACAATGTGAGAGACTGATAAAGTTATTCAGAAAATTACTACATCAAGTTACTGCTGCTAATGGTGGTTTTACAAACTATTGAATTATAAGGTGTACTTCATTTTTAACAAATGGCTTCTCAATTTTGGCTAAATTTTGGTGAAATAAATTTTTACCCTGTAATATGTTGTGTTGTTGTTCATCTGAAATTGTATTTACTTAATTTTAAGACATGCCAAGTGTGGCAAACCCCCCTTTTTTAGGGAGTTCGCCGTGAGTTTTTGGAGGGGCCTGCTTGCCCGCCTCCTGCCCTGTGACTATGGCCCCTGGGATGTATTGCCTTTTAAAAGCGTCATTTGGGCTTATGGACTTTTATTGGATTGTTTCCGGCCTTTTAAATGCTCTGGGTAAAGATCTGTACTTTTTATATGGCACTTCGGATGCAGCCGAAGTGGCCACCTTACGAAAAACGAACATGTGTCGGCGGCCATTTTAATTCAGCCGAACGCGGTCAGCTGTGTTTTGCCATCGAGTTCATGGTACTGAAATCAGCTACTCGACGGCATGAACACGGCTGAAGTTTTACCTTACCTGGAACTATTACATTCAAATGGAGTCGAACGGGACCCGTTCGCACAGCTCAAATCTCTGGAACTGTTTTGGGCATGAAAATGTGCGTGCGGTCGGTCAAAAGAAACTACTAGCTAACTTCCGAACGGATCCAAATGAAATTTGGATATGTTGTTCCCATAATTATGCGGTTTCTAAAAAATTAAGTTTTATGCGAATGTGATGTATAGTTTTAAAGTTATAGAAATGTGTGTTTAAACTGTACAGTTAATTATGTTACCTCTCAGGCTAAGGTGTAACCAGTTAGTGATTGGATAATACCTAGTTGTCTGTGGGTGTCTCCCTTGCATGGGAGAATTGCATAAAAGCAGAGTATGTGTCATTAAACTTCAGTACTACTTCACCCTCAATTTCCTGTCTCTTACTGGGGGATTCCTGTCTATTACTGGGGGAATCTGCTACAAGTGATTGCTATGCTCTTCATACTCCTTGCATAATCACACAGCTCTTGTAAGAGTTTGTTCATGCATCACTCTCTGGGGAAAGAAAGGTTCACCCACTGGAACCTGGAGCATTGTCATAGGTCCAGGGTGGGTAGGAGACCGCGGTTCGTGGGGGTCTGCAGTACTTATGGTGTCAAGTGGAGTGATTGGAGCCCTTGGGAAGCGCTAGGAGCATCCTTAAACAGAGGTACCCAGTCGAGGTGCCAGGTGATCCATTACACTGAGGAATAGATTATTGTTACAATGTCCGGATATGTAAAACCATAGAATTCAAAGAGAGTGTATTTTCTTTTTCCAACGACTGCAGGTAGATCTGCCCTCTCAGCTTATCAGAACAGGATAATAATTAAAGATTTGCAAAAAACTTTATATACTGTGTTACACCAGTCTCATTATTAGCTTCCCAAACAAAAAAAACCTAGGCAACAGAGTGGAAACTATATATTGCCATTGAAAATAAAGAAAATTACAGTAAGTATTTTTTTTTGGTTAATCAAGGCAACATATATGGGTAGTACCCAAGAAAGAAAATTAAATGACAGACAGAAGGTAACATATGCAAAAAACGGAGCGTTCTTATGAACTCAAAGAAACATCAGAATGGACCTTCTTTCCAAATTTAGCATCCGAGGAATCCAAAATCAAAGGTTTGTAAAGTCAAATGTAGGTGCTCAAAGACTGCCAAGGAGCAGCACGGTTTTCCATGGAGACCTCAAATTCAGCCGCCCCAGATGCAGAGACCGATCGAATGGAATGGGCCCATCTTTCAGGACTTTGCAGGTAATCGAGACATTTCAAGAACTAAGAGTGGATACAAAGACAGCTTCTCCTTTACAAGAAACCAGAGTAAGGGCAAAAAGTTAAGATGTTTTTTCAGCATCACACAGGAACACACCCATGTCAGGGAGGGAGAATGAGTTCCTCCTTGTGAGGTTAGATATTCAACTGTCATTGCGTTGTCTGATCGAATTTGGACGAGATGTCCCTGTAGGCATTTCCTTAACATAGGAGAGCAAACCAAGTTGCCTAGAGTTCTCAGGAATTAGAGCATCCGTTCAAAATACTTTTGGATCAGGAATAAAAGACTTTGAATTGACCTACTTGCTTGTGGCCACAAGTTCAATTTAACAGAGGCCCATTTATGGCATATCTGTTTGATTATGGCTTTGGAGAGGGACCACTTGTGATTGTTAATTGTATTTCGACTTAGAAAGTCAGCATATAAGTTGTCTTTGCCTGGTAAACGGCTTTTGTGCCCATAGCACAAGAGGTTTTATCTTCATCACTGTAGGACTCTAGACAACAACCCAGGTGATTTATGTAGGCAGCAGCTGCCCTGTTTTCTCTCCACATTATAATCCACTATTGGAAAATATGTGGGCGGAAATATAGAACATTCCTTAATTTTAGTATTTTGTCTGAAAGCATGGTTGCTTGAAGACCAAGAACTCTGGACAAGTAATCCATTGTAATGATCTTCAAATCTATGAGTGATAAGAAGAAATCCATTTTGATCTTGAGAGGATTATGGGCCTCCCTTTATAAACATTTTAATAAGATTTTGCAGGCCCTAGAAACAGCGCTAATGGCAAATGCCAGGGGGAGCCTGGGGCAGAGGAAGATCAGGGGGAGCCTGGGGCAGAGGAAGATCAGGGGGAGCCTGGGGCAGAGGAAGATCAGGGGGCAGCCTGGGGCAGAGGAGAAGCAGGGGGCAGCCTGGGGCAGAGGAGAAGCAGGGGGCAGCCTGGGGCAGAGGAGGGGCAGCCTGGGGCAGAGGGGCAGAGAGCAGGGGCAGCCTGGGGCAGAAGAAGCAGGGGGCAGCCTGGGGCAGAGGAGAAAGCAGGGGCAGAGGAGAAGCAGGGGCAGAGAGGAGAAGCAGGGGCAGAGGAGAAGCAGGGGCAGAGAGGAGAAGCAGGGGAGAGGAGAAGCAGGGGGCAGAGAAGCAGGGGCAGAGGAGAAGCAGGGGCAGAGGAGAAGCAGGGAGGAGAAGCAGGGGTGCCTGGGGCAGAGGAGAAGCAGGGGTGCCTGGGGCAGAGGAGAAGCAGGGGTGCCTGGGGCAGAGGAGAAGCAGGGGTGCCTGGGGCAGAGGAGAAGCAGGGGTGCCTGGGGCAGAGGAGAAGCAGGGGGTGCCTGGGGCAGAGGAGAAGCAGGGGGTGCCTGGGGCAGAGGAGAAGCAGGGGGTGCCTGGGGCAGAGGAGAAGCAGGGGGTGCCTGGAGCAGAGAAATAAAATAACAGCAACTATAATAACAACAAACATTTTGCTAATATAAAGGGTACAATTTATGGAAAGGCTGCCAAGGGACCCTCCAGTAAAAAAAAGGTTCGGAACCACTCATAAATGATGCAATTAACAGGGCCAAATCTCCAAATCTGCCCTAAAACATACACTGCAATATTTATAGCACTTGAAAAAGTTATACCAATTAAACTGGTATCTATGCATTCTCAGAGGTTATATCCTCAGACAAAAGTGATAAACAATACACAATATATCAACAAGATTGAAAAAATTATGATAATACATCAAAAAAACACAACCCTCCCTCATGAAGGTTTTTACAGGTTATCACATTTCTAGAGAAGCTAAAATGTGCAGAACAATCAAAACATGAGGAACAGATTCCAAAAGGATTTCAGTCAATAAACACAAAATAGACTTTAACTACCTGCTTCACTTTAACCATCAAGTGAGGTGGACTTCTGCTCTTACTTCTACTTCTCTTATACTTGGGTGATTTGCTTCGTTTGCCAGATGACTTGTTTTTCCTTTTTGCTGGTGATCTAAAGAAAAATAAATAAAAGAACATTCAACCATGCAAACCCAGTATACAATGAGGATGGATCCACGGTGAATTGACTTGTTGCAGGATGTAAATTCTAATTACATATAAATTGATTAGCAGTTAATAAATATGACCAAATAACGATATCTATGAAGTTCCCTTCTCTGTTTCCACCACCCTGTGTATTAAAATCTTTCCCCATGCTCAATGAATCCTGATTATCACCTGCTTAAAGAAATAGTCAGAACCTGAAGTGTCAACCCCCCACTTTTCTTTTTATATACATTAAATGTATGCAAGGGTGTGGAAATTAAAAATGAATAAATAATCTACTTGTCCAAGGACTAAAGTGGTATTCCAACCTACTCATCCTGATTGGTGCTGAGGGCGAATTCCTGTGCACGCATCTCCTAGTGATTACCTATGGGGAAGCAGTGATAACATTAGCCAGGGAGATGGGGCAGCAGCACAGAGATCGGAGAGGCAAGGGATGGAATAAAGGTAAGTAAAACACTTTATTTTATTAATTCGGGGCGAGATAATCTCAAATGTTATTACCATAATGCTGTATTAACCTTAAAACTACAGCTTTCATGATGCGCTGCCATTCTCAAGGCATAAAAAGCATCATGTGAGTTGTAGTTCTACATCATCTTGGGATCTACCTTTTGGGCACCCCTGTTTTAATACATTTTCAAAACTTTGTCCTTATGGAGTAAGGTGTAGATTGATGTCAAAAAATTAATTTAAACAATTATAGCATAAGGCTGCAACATAAAAATCTGAAAAAAAATAAATAAAAATACTTTCCCGGATATATAAATGGCGGCACTACAGATGTAAATACTTCCTCCCACTCCTAAATTGGACAGAAACACATAATTAAACAATAAAAAGACTTAATTCCCTACATCCCACCAGATAGGATTGTTTTGCACCTTCTCTTTTTTCTTTTGTGGTTTACTTGGGTCTAAAAATATCCCTAGCGCGTGGGGGTTCAGCTTCTTTCCCCATGGAAGCTTCAGGACATGGCACCTCTCCCCTTAGCGACAGTGGAATTATGCTGTAGTGATGCTATAGGTTGCAGCTGGATGTGCCACCATTGAGGTGATAATTCCCGAATATGGATACACCTGCCTAATTGTGGACTATCTTGGCTTTCCCATACATATTCACTTTTCTGTTCCATTGGCAGAATTGTCAAGAAGACAGGTTTTCTGTTGCTTTATTGGATAATTATTTACCCCCAAGAGGGTGGCTGGGCCTCATCCTTTTATTACTGTTTGTCTATTCGACTTCTGGGTTTCCCTCCTTTTCTTCCACTTTCCGAATGCGTTTCGGCTGTGGAAAGCATGGTGGAATGCATATCGATTTTCACACCTACGCACGTCTGCTAGTTTAGGCCTATTACAGCCGTGAAATACAGGTGGAATGCATGCCAGATTGGTCCATTGGACATGATTTCCCTCGGGCTCACTTTAATCCCCAAACATCTATTTATGGTTTTGTTCCATCTCCTGATGGTCCTCGATGCTCACGGTTGCGCTGGTTGAAGTTTGGTTTTCTCCTTCCTGCGGTGGTTTTTCAATACGTTCTTTGACTGCAGGTAATCATTTCTTCACTTGTTAATATATTAGTCTTATATTTTTCTCCAGGGATTTTTCCTAATTTTTTAATCTTCTGAGCCTTCTATTCTCTTTGATAGAACTTACAAGATGGGTTGAGTGGCATATAAGGATATGTCAAATAGAGTTGAGTTTTCGAATGCGGACCTGATTCAAGAGATCTTGATATCCTTTCAAGGTCAAGAAAGATCTATTTTGGTGGATGGACAATCACAATCATTTTTGGAATTTTCTCTGGGACACACTGAATGGTTAACAATAATGCGTGCGTGTCTGTCTCTCCTCCTGCCTCTCAATCTGTGTGCGTGCCTCTCAATCTGTGTGCATGCGCATATCTTGTGTGTCTCCCTCCCAGTGTGTGTGCCTCTAGCCTTAGATGTAGGTGGCTTAGGTAGTTGTTGCCGAGTCTCTCTCCAGTACCTCTTACACATGACATCGAACCGCTGCAGGAATGCTGCCTCCCAGCTTCCAAGTTGTGCCCGAGCATGGGTAGTATTGCCGTTGCAATTTTGAATTGGCTGTGAGTGAGCCTCCTTCCCGAGATTTTCCAAGGAGCTTCATAGTGGTGAGTGCTCGCTTTGGTGGGGGCCGGGATAACCCCAACCGGTCTAAAGGAGGGGGGTGGGGGAGTACGGGGCTCGGATAAACTGCAGGAGGAAAAATCCAGGCCACCCCGGAAAGTGAGATTGTCTACCTCTCCCTCCAGAGAACACCAGGCCGCAACAGGGTGTAGGCCACAGCTGCCGGTTAGCAGGCGTAACGAGTCTGGAACCCACTCCAATTTTGCCCCAGCTTTGTCAGACGAGGGTATCTTTGTAAGAATGTCCAGGTGCATGGAAGAAATGTCCTTAAAATTGCTTTCGTTTCAAGCTTTTTTTCAGGAGCTTAAGTCCCCGGCGGGCTGTGACCATTCAGTATGGCATCCAAGCCCCGCCCTCTACATATTTTTTTGTGTGTAAACACTGCCTTCTCAGAGAAATGACAGTGTTTACATTGGTGCCTAGGATCATTCAGCCGCACAATAGAGAGAGAGAGGTGCATCCTGGGTCAATGCTACACGTTCTATGTGGAGACGCTGAGGGCTCCCAAAAGTGATGCATTGATTCAATGCATCTCTATGAGGAGATGCTGATTGGCGCAGTGCAGAATTTTGACACAAATGCACAAAAAACTTCCAATGCTTTGTAATGGGAAAGAATTGGGTTGGCTGAGATTGTCAAATTTGATGATCTCAACAAAGGAGGTGGAGCAAAGTGTAGCCTGTTGCATCGATAATGGCACAGCCCAGGAATAAAGGTAAAGAACCTAAACAGTGTTTTTACAGCTATAGTATCAGCAATACATGTTTGCATTCCTGACTATAGTGTTCCTTTAAGCTTAAACAGATTTGGTTGTGTAGCTCATGACCCTGTACTATGGTGTCATTACTCAATCTCCTGCCATTTAGGAAAAGTGAAATCACTTTGTTTACGCTGCGGGAAGAGTTTCTTGTGACATCAAAACACTGTACCAACTATGAGAATACACCATTGATTTCCACATCCTGACAATTAGCTGTTTTCGGGTTATTCAGTGAAGTGAGAATTCAAAGTACATTTCAAATCTAAGGACTAAACAGCCGAACTGGAAACATTCCCTAAGTCAGCTACTGATTCAAGGGTGGCTATTGTGTCCTTCGTCTTGAAATCCACTCTAAGTTTTCAGTTTAGTGAATACCCCCTGATCGTGTATAACCCTATCACAGCAACACGTCCTCCCCCTCCTCCCCCGGCCTGCTTACCTGCTCCTCCTGCGGCCCCCCTGGAGGGATTCCTCTGCGCTGCTGCCATGGCTCGGGCTCCGCCGGCTCCGGTGAGGCCTGGCTGGGGGGCTCACCCTCTCCTGTTTTATTAAGGCTGGCTCTGGACTGTGTGCCCGGCGATTTCTCCGTCTCTCCTCCTCCCTGAGCTCCTTCATCCTCTCTCTAATCCTCCAAAATAACAGCTCTAAGCAAGGCTGCCACTGGCTGCGGGGCACACTGAAAACAACCGTAACTCTATGACACCAGCCAGCAGCGGTGCAGCAAGACTACCGGAAGTAACAGCCGCGAAGCATGACGGGAAATGTAGTTCCTTGCTAGTAATTTCCGGATAAGCTTTTTTTTTTTTTTTTTTTTTTACATGAAAACATGTAACAAAATGCATTTATTATAGATATGTTACTTGTGGTGCTTGCAGGTGTTTGTACCAGAATACGAGTTGATGGCTTAAATATAACATTACTATACTGGTGTGTATGCTACAGTTTGTGTCTTTTGTTGTTTATAAATAAAGTTGTTTGCGACGCCTCTGCGTGTGACGTATTTTAACTTTGAGAACTTCAATTCCCGACATGCTATGCGGCACATGTAAACTATATCTGGTGTTAAAGGTAAGGATTTTCCTTTCTGCCCTGAAAACCATGGTGATCTGAGTATGTGATTTATAACTCTGATGTCTTATTGTTTTTATATATAGAATTTCTAAAAAAAAAATGCTCAGATATCAATTTTATTTTCAGTATAATTGTGGAACTAGTGGCATAACATGTATTGTGAAATACGTGGTTTTGGTGTAAACTATTTATTGTTTAGAAGGTAAGAATGGAGACTCAAGTATTACCGTGTTCTCGCAGTGCAACTAAGCTTAAAGGGACACTATAGTCACCCAGACGAATTTTGCCTCAATCGCGCAGAGCGTCCATAGGAAAGCATTGAGAAATGCTTTCCTACGGACAGCTTGAATGCGCATTCAGCTCCGGTGATGTCGGATGGGGAGGAGAGGTCACCAGTGCCGAGGGAGCCTGGTGCTGGAATAAGGTAAGGGCCACGGAAGGGGGGCCATGAGGGTGGGGGCACCCTCAGAGCACTATAGTGTCAGGAAAACCGCTTTGTTTTCCTGACACTATAGTGATCCTTTAATGCAAAGTTATTTAACTGGCACGTTTCTAGTGTCCTTGGTTTATTATTTAATCTGGCTTGTGAGTTAAAACCCATGTTTGCAAATCTAGTAGTTCTGAAAACCCAGACTATATATTCAGCAACTTTGTCACCCACTTTCCACCCTCCCAAAAAAAGAGCATTTCGTAATGATAAACTCTTCATGAAATACTAACGCAGTTAAAGGACCACTATAGTGCCAGGAAAACATACTCGTTTTCCTGGCACTATAGTGCCCTGAGGGTGCCCCCACCCTCAGGGACCCCCTCCCGCCCGGCTCTGGAAGGGGAAAGGGGTTAAAAACTTACCTTTTTCCAGCGCTGGGCGGAGAGCTCTCCTCCTCCTCCTCCGATCCTCCTCCTGGACTGAATGCGCACGCGCGGCAAGAGCTGCGCGCGCATTCAGCCCGTCGCATAGGAAAGCATTTACAATGCTTTCCTATGGACGCTGGCGTGCTCTCACTGTGAAAATCACAGTGAGAAGCACGCAAGCGCCTCTAGTGGCTGTCAATGAGACAGCCACTAGAGGATTTGGAGGCTGGATTAACCCATTCATAAACATAGCAGTTTCTCTGAAACTGCTATGTTTATAAAAAAAAATGGGTTAACCCTAGCTGGACCTGGCACCCAGACCACTTCATTAAGCTGAAGTGGTCTGGGTGCCTAGAGTGGTCCTTTAAAGGATATCATAAGATGGACTACTTTGTCTTATGCATTTTTTCCTAAATTTTACAAAATGCGGTCACGATTTGTCAATTCACCAAGCCATCACTAGCTTGAATGGCTGTGAAGAAAAAGGCATTGTCTATGGAGGTTAGTCCATGTACATTACCAGTGTTGTAGTCTTGTGCATGTGCGACAATACAACACTGATGTGGGCTAGTGGCAGGTATAGAGCACCGGCTGGACAAGCATGGCGCTGGCTGCAAGGCACAGCTTCAGGTAAGTAAAACTTACTGCATCCCCGGGCTACTGAACACCAAGCGACGATGTCCCCATCAGAAATCTTTTCAAAATATGCAAAAACCCTTTAACTTTAACAGTGTCCACATTATTTTTTATAGAAGTGCAGACATCAAGAGAGATCAGTACTTTTTAAAAGTATATTACAGTAGTTGCTTTCTCTTGGCTGCCAACCAGACATCCGACTGTGTGCTCTTTACTCGCTTTGTACCTTTAGCACAATGCTAAAGTGAGGGCATGTGCAATTTACATCCAATTCATCGGATTGGCCAAGAGATCATCAGTTGTGATCATCCCTTTGAGGAAAAGGGGACTTATGGTGACAGACACAAATTAAATCTTTATTTTGTTTCTTGGCGGGAGGGGGGGGGGGCAGAAAACACTTTGGCAATAAATGTATTTATAATTCTGGAGTGTTCCTTTTATTGAAAGTCCAAGATATAATGAAAATTATATAAGACAAAAAAGGGATGATTTGTCTTTGCTAAATGGAGGCCAGTGTTTGGCGAAATGTACAAAAGTCAGCATTTCAGAGAGCTTTTTCAATTGTATCTTAAAATTTTCCATCACTTGCTTAGTATTATCTACCAGGAGGTGAAGATGGAGTATTTCCAGAGAATAGAGAGCAATATTGCAAAGTAGATAGTTCTTGGCATGCCTTGAGCCCACTTTCATTATAATATAATAAAAAAATAGAAAAGGAACAAAATGTAATTTCCCCCCTCCCTTCTTCTAATCCTTTTCTCAGGGAGGGGGACACTGCAGGGCCTGCTGGTACGGTTGTATTCAGTAACTCTGCCTGCAGGCAGAGTTCAGTCTTCTTGCGAGCTCCTTGGACCATTGTCTTGGTGACCTGAGGCAATGCTCTGAATTGCCCAGCTCACGGGAGGAACTTTCAATCTCCCGGCTCCTCTCTCTCTTCGCTTTCCAATCCACAAGAACAAACTACCTTTGGATTGGTGAGGGAGATCTTTGTTCTCCTCCTCTTGCCAGTGAAGGCACACAGTGTTACAGCCCATGGACTGGCCTCATAAAGGGCTGTGTATTGGACAGAATACAAATTTGTATTCCTTACACTATGGAATCCCTTCTGCTGCCCCTCTTTGAGCCTGGAATTTACCTTGCGAATTAGAAGCATTCCAGTGGGCATCAAAAAGAGGACATCGCCGTATGTAACAAGTTCCGTATAAGAAGCTTTATTAAAGATTAGAAAGTGTGCTTACAGAATTGTTGCTTAATATTCATTAAATACTGAGGTCTGTGCTGAGAAGAGATTTAAGACTTTCTTCCACTGCAGGCTCTTTCTCCTATTTTTAGCTGGATTCGGAAGTTCCGTTTGTTCTATTACCTTGGTAAGCAAACACGTTTAATCTCTTGTTGGATACCTTCTCAATGTTCGAAGTCTCCAACAAGAGACCAAATGTGTTTGGTTACTGTGACAAACGATCCTTGGTCTGGACGTTGTCCACAAATTCATGGAGGAGTGTAAAAGCTGGCCTCCTGCCCACTGACTATGGGCCTTATACAAAAACTCTGTTTGGAAGTTAAATCTAACCAACTGCTCTGTAGCAGCTTGCCCTGGGTGCCTGAGACTAAGGGGAACAAACGCTACCTAAGAGCCAGCTGGAGCACCCTGTAATGCGAGCCGTCTGTAGTGATGCCTGGTGCCGGAAAATGACGTCATATTCCGGTATCACTAAACTGCGTGCAAGGGAGCAGTGAGGAGCAGGAAGAAAATGTCCAGATAGATCCCCACTGGACTCCAGGAAATGATGTGTGTGTGTCGGTCTGTGTTGCAATGGCCACAGCTGGACAGTGGCGTACCTGGAGGTGCACGGAGGCAAGCAACGCCACATCACATTCCGTTGTGACGTTGACGTGCTCCACCTTCGCAGGATTGCAAGAAGTAGTGGGATGATCCGCTTTGGCACAGGGTGTGGACGGCACCAGAGTCAGGACTCCGGAGTCGCATACTTGCAGCGGCAAGGCAAGTGGAGTCTGCTTGTTGGCTAGAGGGAGGTGCTGCTGGCATTTAGTAGTGAGGACTAGGATTTAGTATACGATGGTGGACTGATATTTCGGATATAGGGGGATGCTGTTTTTTTATATATATTTTGGCTCGTGCTAGACTTTGAGTTTGACATGATTGCTCTGTCTTTGTGTATTTTTAATATTTTATGTTTTTATGCACAGTCATGCTGACTAAGAAATCCATGGGCATGTTGTGTGAGTGTTATGGGCGTGTTTGACTGTAACCATGATGTGTATAAAATCAGACCATCTGGCCAGAATAAAATATTCCTTTTGTACCCTTTATCAAGTCTAGGCTGATGTTTAGGTAGCCCAGAGCTTTAATCACTGCTTCAATTGGGGTTTGGGAGAACTACAGCGATATAATCAGTATAGGGAATCCGATACAGTTACCAAGGTAACAGGTAACACTGATAATTTGTACACATTTATGACTGTAGTGTCTCATTCTGATATGCGAAGTCTTCCTGAAGTACAATCTAAAAGTTTGCTTTCTCTCTTTTTTTTTTTTTTCTTGTTTAAAATGCTCCATCAGAAGTATTAGCCACATTTGACCGCATCAAAAGATGGCATCCTAGGAAAATGGGACATCTGTTGCTAGACAGCTACTAGAAACGTGTTTTTGTAAATGCATTGATGTACATTGATCGCAAAGAAAGGTAACATCTATGAACCAGACATTAAGTTTTTGCTAATATTTTTTTTTATGTTGTCTGTGTACAATTGTAATCAAAATTATTCAAACTCTATTGAAAATAAAGTTTATTGTTAAAATTTACAGACTTTCAGTTGTTTGCAATTAACAAATAAAAAAAAAAGCAATTAAAATAGCTCCACACAACATATGCTTGTGTTTCCTTTTGCTGCCCCATCCAGGTAGTGTAACCAGTCTTCCTTCAACTTGAACTTGTGAATTATGCTTCCAACGGTGTCTATAGGAACATTCTGTGCCTTTGTGATCTTTTTGTATCCTGTTCCTTGTTTGTGAAGAGTGATGAACTCTTCTCTTAACTTTGTGGATCATTCTTTTAACTCAGCCATATTTCTAACAGTCAAATGTGACACTCAACAAATCCCTAGCCAGTACAGGTATTTCAAGTGTTCCAGCTCAGGCACACCTGGTGCAACTAATGAAGCACTTGATTAGTTGCATCAGGTGTGCTTGAAACAACATCTCTTTTGCATATTTGTGCTGTTGTGAGGGATTCTATTCAGGGGGTTAAATAATTTTGAGACTGGAGCAGTCATTATGAGTTGCATTTTCAGTTGAGTTTGGGGAAACCACTTGAAACATTCATTGTTTTGAGCTATTTAATTTGCTTTTGCTTGATTTGATCATTGAAAACAGCTGAAAGTCTGAAAAATTGTGACATAAACCTGTCTTTCAATAGGGGTTGAAAAATTTGGATTATAACTGTATGCATTATCAATGTATAACAATGAGCTGTACAAGGATATGACAAACCTAAAGTATATAGATTTGATAGGACTTCGTGCATACATAATCACAAACAAAAAGCATATTTATGTTATATTATAGAGGCTTTCCCACAGTCTATTCTATAATGTTGGTTTTATTTGCAGGATGTCTGAGAAAGCCACATATGGATCTCTTCAGCAATCTCTGAGACGGTGTTTCGATGCTATTGAACAGCAGCAGAAAGAATGGAAAATTGCCATCCAGGAGTGTGAGCCATTAGTTGCTGCTTTGAGTAATCTGTCAGAGCAGCTGCAAGCATGTGAAAAAGTCAATTTGCAGAACAGCCCTTTAAATGAATTTCCTGATCTTCAGGGACGTCTCCAATACAAACTTAAGGCAGCAATGGAGGTTACTCTAGAGAAGCTGAATGAAAAAATGTAAGATTGGTACCTCCATAATGTTCATTTTGGTGTAGAGTAGTAGTTACCTGTAATAGTATTTCTAGTGGTTAAAGTTAACTGAATAAAGGAATTTAGAAATGCTTGGAAAATACATAAATAAATGGATTATCTTGTTAATAAATTACACCCTATTTTTTTTTTAAAATAGATTATGGCCTTGATTTAAAGGGACAATATAGCTACTTGAACCACTGCAACTTAATGTAGTGGTTTTGGTGTATATAGCATGCCCCTGCAGGCTCAGCAATGTAAAGGCAGTGTACATTGATGCTGCTTTTTATTAGAGGGACTCTATGAGTTAGGTAGGAGACGCTGAATTCTCCCTATAGAGATGATGCTGATTGGCACAGGGTGGCTTGAAGATCTCGAGACCAGTGCGGCGATGGAGACAAGCTACGCTAAATACATTTTACTCTATTCTGACACCTAAATAGCCCAGCAATATAGTGTTATCAATACATGGTTTTTCCTTTAATATTTTTGGATAAGCTTTTTTTAGGAATCCACATTTGTTTACGTAACCCCAGAGTCTTCCTTTAACTTGCCTGTAAGTAGTCAAACTGTTTAACAGCCTACCTGTGCGCTGCAAGGCAGCGGTCACCAACTGGCAGTGCAGGGCTTAGCTCTTTGGCTGAGAGCAATCTGCTGATGTCCTCAGCCAATAGGTTGGCCCCGCACAGCAGTGTTTAACTCTAGAGAGCTAACAGAAGGAGTTTCAGCTCTCAATGGAGCTGGAGACCAGCGACTGGCAAACTCCAGGTAAGTTGTCAAACCATTGGCAAACGGTTTAACTACTAACATGGGAGAGGGGTGTGTGCATGGACACTCCTGGTACCATAACCACTGCATCATGTAGTGGTTATGATGCTTAGAGTATTCCTTTAATTAGATGTCATTATTTAGGTATGCATTAAGGAGTGTTCCTTTTAACAGCATTACCAAATCTGTCTTTGTTATCTTCCAGAATACGTGGTACACAGGCAAAATAAATTATATATTGGAAAATAAGTATGGGGTGAGGGTTATTATTATTAATAATAATAAAAACACACACATACACTAATTTGGTAAATGTTGGATCTGGGACAACTAACAAGTCTACAGCAAATGTTCGGTCATAACAAACAAACTGTAAAAATTAGCGAGTTCCATTTTATAACTCTGTTCAATGTGTTGGCACATTTTAATTGGCAGAGGAACTCTGGCACTGCTTTTTATTCCTGTCCAGCAGTGAGGTCATGAATAATGTTATTTATCTTTGTTACTGTTGCTTGGTTTATTATTTATTTACAGGAAACATGAAATTAACAGTAAAGTAAGTTTTATATTTTGTGCAAAACTAGCTCTATTGAAAATTTTATATGGCTCCTTGATTATTGGAAAATTTGTCAATTATATATAACCTAAGATTTCATATTTTTTTTTAGGTCTATTCTGCAAAAAGTAAGAGATGCTGTAAGCCACCATGTTGGGTCTGTGCTGTACATTTATGAAGTGAATGCAGATGATATCGGCATTGAAACCTGTCTCATGCGTTCTAATCTCAGTCCTTCAATAGCCGACATGCTCGAGTGGTTACAGGACATAGAGAAACAGTACAGAAACCAGTATCCTTTATATTATCTGTCATCCTTTTTTAAAGTGAATGTTTCGGTTACAAACTGCAGTTATAAACCAACAGGATTATTTACTTAGTGAGAATTCAAAGTGAATTTCAAATATAAGGCTGTTGTATTCAAACTGACAGCATAGCTAACTTAGATAATTTTTTCAGATCCACTATTTTGACCTTAAAGGAACACTATAGTCACCAAGGTTTTAACCCTTCAGATGTAAACTGCTATGTTTACATTGCAGGGTTAATCCAGCCTCTAGTGGCTGTCTTCCTAACAGCCGCTAGAGGCGCTTCTGCGACGCTGGATGCAAAAATCGCATTCAGCGAGCAGAACGTCCATAGGAAAGCACTTGGGAGCTGACGTCAGCGAGGGAGGAGAGGTCACCAGTGCCGAGGGAACCCGGCGCTGGATAAAGGTAAGTGGCTGAAGAGGTTTTAACCCCTTCAGCCCAGCAGTAGGGGGACCTAATAACCCTACAGTGCCAGGAAAACGAGTTTGTTTTCCTGTCACTATAGTGATCCTTTAATTTGAAATTCACTTTGAATTTTCACTTTAATGAATAACATTGCTAAATAACCTTAAAATTTAAAAGTGTGTGTGTTTTTTTAATTTTTTTATTTATTTATGCATACACTATTGATGTTCCAGGAGGATTTGCTGCAGCTTTCTAGGCTTTGCATTCCTGCTGTGAGCACTGATCAACCAGTAAGTCACTCACACAGTTTGTTTAGCAGTGTCAAGCGTATTCCATAAACATTTGTGTCAGCAAACCTAAGTTTGACATCATGGTGAGTAGTATTGTTTTTGTTTTTTTAAATAGAGATGATTAAAATCATCTACATACATAACTATAACCTAGCCTAACGTGCTTGGAGCACCCTTTTAATATGCAATAGGTAGTATTTGTGCTTGCTGATCCAATGCATGGAATATGCATTAGTACTCCCATTTTAAACAAGTGATGAAGTACAGGGTAGAATGTTCCCTCAGGGAAGTTATGACTTCATGAGATTGAGATAATCAAATTAGTAACAGGGTAAAAAAAGAAATGAAAACACATGCTCTTTTTATTGCTCCGGCATCTGTGTTTGTCTACTAGATTCTTAACACACAGTTAGATACCTGGCAAGGAAGCTTCTCCTTGAAGTGAGCTATGATCGTCTGGCAGAAATTAGAAATTTGTCACAGTCCTGGAGCAGATTAGAAGATAAGTCATTATCCAGACAACAGCTCGTAGAAGGTACTATTTTATTTAATTTGCATAAATGTATAAATTCAGGGATACACAAAATAAAGTGGGGGGGTGAGATATCAATATTTTGAAGAAAAATGTTGAAATTTTAAAATAAAGGCTAGAGGTAGGGTAAAGGTAGAAAGCACCCCATCACCTATAATATAAGAACAGATTTAGTCTCTTGGTACTGAGCATTTAGTGATTTTGTTTCGATCTGAAGTTTGCCTGGAATCTCAGCCAACATGTCAAGAATTTTTTTTTGTATTTTCCAGTATGTGGTGTTCAGACTGAGCATGTAATGAAGCACCATCATACAAACAGATGTTTTGTGTAGGAACACATAACAGATTTGGTTATTCTTAGATAAAAATAATCCTTGTTTTAAATTGTTTCTGTGCAGCTGCTAACTAATCACTGGACAGTTTCTGCTTTCTCTTACTAGAGCTACACTACGGGTAAGATTGTAGAAGTAGCACTCAAAGAATAAAAGGTTGACAAGTGGTACAGCAGTCCGTAAACCCCATCTCTGTTTCCGCTTGGTGATGTAGTATACTGTACAGAAAGGAAACCAAACACACACGTGATATATACAGCTTGATCTTTGTTTTTTGTTCGGCAGCCAAGTCAGTAGAAGCGTATATATAGGAACATGTTGCTAAAGTATATGCTGTTACAAGGATCTACCTGTTTCTCTTTCCCAACATCTTATTCATTATATTTGCAGTTATCGCTCAAGGTTCCTGAAGCCCTTTGCCCACCTCCTCTTTTTTTGTGTCACAGGCAGATGCCAAATTGTTCTTCCTCTTGATTATACAACATTTTGTGTGCACATGATACAAATATCTTTTCCTGATCCTCCTCACCTGACTTTACTCCCATTCGCAGGAATGAGGTAGTGACATAAGGCAAGAAGGCTGTACATGCTGGCATCTGTTTTACACAGAATTGACATTAGCTAGCACTTTTTCATAGAAACAAAAATATGCTAAATACTGCATATACAGACTCCAGGCACCATGACCACTTCAGTGTTTGGATTAACTGTTTAAGATGTTAGGACAGCCAGATGGCCTTTCATTTTATTTTATAAGCTACTATGAAATGGGCAGGCAATGTATAACTAAGAAGTGTTTGTATGCTTTGTTCTGTCTCAGCCTAGAAATTGTTTGTTAGTTTGATTGTTGAGTTATTAGATTCTAGTAATTGAATAAATGTTACCCTTTTCTCTTTTCAGATACCTTATTATATGTATCTTTCTTCCGGGAAGCTGAGTGATGACACGTTGTATTTCTGACTTTGAGCTCTCATGCTGACAGGAGACCCATGCTTAACCTTTCATACTGATTGATCAGGATGTATTTTGAAATACATTTTTAGAATCTCAAGAACAACTGTCTTACCAGTTACCGAGCATGGCAAACCATTTTGCACCAGATCAATAATGTCAAGAGCACACATTGTGGATATAAAATGTTTGTTTATATGTATGTGAGTGTGAGTATATAAACTATAAAATCAGATTTTATTTTAACTTTTATGCCTTTTGATAATAAATTGGTTACGTTTACAGTTGCAAGAAAAAGTATGTGAACCCTTTGGAATGATATGGATTCCTGAACAAATTGGTCATAAAATGTGATCTGATCATCATCTAAGTCACAACAATAGACAATCACAGTCTGTTTAAACTAATAACACACAAACAATGAAATGTTGCCATGTTTTTATTGAAAACACCATGCAAACATTCACAGTGCAGGTAGAAAAAGTATGGCTTTAATAACTGGTTGAACTTCCTTTGGCAGCAATAACTTCAACCAAATGTTTCCTGTGGTTGCAGATCAGACGTGCACAACGGCCAGGAGTATATCTTGACCATTCCTCTTTACAGAACTGTTTCAGTTCAGCAATATTCTTGGGATGTCTGGTGTGAATCGCTTTCTTGAGGTCAGGCCACAGCATCTCAATCGGGTTGAGGTCAGGACTCTGACTGGGCCACTTCAGAAGGCGTATTTTCGTCTGTTTAAGCCATTCTGTTGATTTACTTTTATGCTTTGGGTCATTGTCCTGTTGCAACACCCATCTTCTGTTGAGCTTCAGCTGGTAGACAGATGGCCTTAAGTTCTCCTGTCTTGATAAACTTGGGAATTTTTCCTTCGATGATAGCAATCCGTCCAGGCCCTGACGCAGCAAAGCAGCCCCAAACCGTGATGCCCCCACCACCATACTTCACAGTTGGGATATGGTTTTGATGTTGGTGTGCTGTGCCTTTTTTTCGCCACATATCGTGTTGTGTTTCTTCCGAACAACTCAACTTTGGTTTCATCTGTCCACAGAATATTTTGCCAGTACTGCTGTGGAACATCCAGGTGCTCTTGTGCAAACTGTAAACGTGCAGTAATGTTTTGTTTGGACAGCAGTGGCTTCCTCTGTGGTATCCTCCCATGAAATCCATTCTTGTTTAGTGTTTTACGTATTGTAGGTTCGCTAACAGGGATGTTAGCATTTGCCAGTGACTTTTGTAAGTCTTTAGCTGACACTCTAGGATTCTTCTTCACCTCATTGAGCAGTCTGCGCTGAGCTCTTGCTGTCATCTTTACAGGACGGCCACTCCTAGGGAGAGTAGCAGCAGTGCTGAACTTTCTCCATTTATAGACAATTTCTTACTGTGGACTGATGAATAGCAAGGCTTTTGGAGATACTTCTATAACCCTTTCCAGCTTTATGCAAGTCAACAATTCTTGATCGTAGGTCTTCAGAGAGCTCTTTTGTGCGAGGCATCATTCACATCAGGCTATGCTTCTTGTGAAAAGCAAGCCCAGAACTGGTGTGTGTTTTTTTTTTTTTTTTTTTGTTTTGAATATTTTTATTGTGTGCATAATATAAAGTCATACATCAAATTGATTTGTAATAAAGCAAGTGATTGCCCACGCAGGGGCTTAGGCATTGGTTTAACACTGCATATACATTTGGTTGCCTGCGTAGAGGCGGATTTGTCCTAGCTTGTGTTTTTTGTTCACAGTGGGTTGCTTTGTGTTGTACTGTGTTACCTTTTTAGTTCGGTTATAGCATTAATTGAGTGTTTTAAGTTAACTGGTGTGTGCCAGAGCTACGTGTTTGCTAGTTGGTAAATGCAAATTCTCGCCTGTGCAGAGGCAAGTAAATCAGCTTGCTAATTGGAGTCAGACTTTAAGCGATAATCTAAGATATAAAAACTTTTTCAACTATCTGGTTAGGGCTCTAGACGTACGCTACCGCTGTGTTTAAAACTTGGCTTTTAACTATTAAACATTAGTATGCACGTGGCTGAGAGCCTTATTTGTGGTTAATATTTTATGGCATATGTTTCTTGTCATTAATTAAGCGTTGATAGTTAGCGCGGTGTGAAGTAGCTATCAGCATTGCGACTTTGCCCTATCAACTGCACATCAGGCATGCTGCGAAATATATGTACCAATGTTAAAGATTGTATCCTATGTACAGCTGCTTATGCCCTTGTAAATATTAGCGTGGTTAGCTCTAGTAACATGAATTTACACTTTTACCAGTCAGAGCGTTTGTGACTATGTTAAGGCACAGTAATATATAGTGCGGTAATCGAGCGATTAGGTAGGTAGTATTAAATAACCCTGACAGTATATACGCTGCTACATTGATTTCACAGAGTAGTTTTTCAGGCCTAGTAACATACAATGCAGTAATTAGGCAGGTAAATAGGCAGTATTGAAACATGTAAAATGTAGAATATTGCATATTCTATGTTTCTATTGATTATATATATATGGATGTGTGGATTGACATAAGTAACAGATGGTATCAATAAGTCACAAGGCTTTCTTTGTCCGAGAGCTCTGGAATGTGGGTGTGGGGGTCTTGTCCTTATATGGCTAGAGTTATATGCTGACGTTAGTATTAGCACATCTATATAGTAACAGGGGGACACGAGGTCGCTCTCAGTCTCGGTCTTGGCTTGGCTCTGTACAACGATGTAACTCTCCCAAAAGAAGTCCAGCAATTACCATCTGCTGTTGAATGTACACTATCCTGTAACATTTATTATGTTTTATTATGTATCCGTAACAAAGAATAAACCTGAAGAAACCGTAAGTCAGATTGCGTATTACTACTTTTCAATAATATAGACATATATTATTGTGGCGAGCATTTGGCCCAAGAATATATATACAAAAGACGTATATATATCAATCAACTGAAGACAAAAAGAAATTAAGAAAGAGTCTACATTAACATCCATTCATCTACATTTTTTACATAAAACTTCTAGTAGCAATTAAAAACATATCATCATGCCCTTGCTGCTAGGTCCGATGCTCATCAATTTGTACTATCCTGCACAGTTTCAACTAGTGGGAATATGCATACAAACTCTTTATGTTAAGTGCGTTTGCATCGCCTAGTCTATTGAAGCTCTGACATGCGAGGAACATATGCTCATATACTAAAAAAAAAAAATAAAAAAAAAATTACTAATAAGGACTTAAACAATACCGGGGCATGGCTGTTCTGGACGACTACGCTTTTGGCTAAATGAGTCCTAGATGTTATCAAGTTAGGTTGGGCCATCCACATTTGGGGCCCGTGGGCACCTCTGTGTCTGGGGGACCCTCTTGTGCCTCCACCCTGGGCAAACTCCGGTCCGTCAGTGGGTAGATCCGTGGCGCCGTGGGCACTCGGTTGCGTGGGCAGACTAGCAGATCCCCCCCACGTAGAATCCACCTGCCACCCGTCCCCTGCACCTCCCCGATTCCCAGTCAGTCCATGCCTCGCCTGGCTCCGGTCTCATACTTGGTACCAATGCCCGGCTACCGGTTCACCGGAGGGTCTACGTCTACCGGTCCCACAGGGCTCACTGAGTCAGGGGAAAAGTCCTCTGAATCACCACCAAGTTCAAAGGGTCCGACCGGTTCCCTACCAGCACACCGGTCACCCGAGGGTGGGCATCTGTGGGTCCATCTCTGCAAAAGTCCGCGGTAACCCAACATGGTATGTGCCTCTGTTGGTGCTCAAGCCGCTCATCTGGTTTCCTGGGGGATATTAATGGTAGTAGCCTTTTATGCAGGATTCTCATCGGCAGCCTTCCAAATTGGGGCTTCATGTGGGTTGTAGTGCCCCATCCAATGGTTGCTTGTGCCCCTTTATTCTGTATTAGGGTGCGTTCCTGGCAGCGTCCATATCTGCTAGCTGGCTGTTTTTTCCCTTTCAGCCGTTGCTAGTGTAGGCAGGCGGCATAGGCCTAGCGCGGGATCTCCCGCCACTGTGCGGGCCGCCGCCATGATGCCGGGATAACCCCCACCGGTCCGGGGGGGAGCGGGGCCGTGCCCCGAGCCGGGGTATAGTTCATGTGGTTTTTCCCTTTCCCGCAAAGTGCCTCTCCGCGGTGCCTGGGAGCACGAGGACAGGCCTGTGTCGGCTTGCAGGCCGAAGGTGTCTGTTTCCGCTCACCCGGTGCGTGTTGTGCCTCCTGCGGGGTATCGGGCTGAAGCTGGTAACCCTCTCCATGCAGCGGGAGCGACTGTTCCGGCATTGCAGCGGTCTATGTCGGCTTTTTGAATCCGTTTCACGAGCCTAGAGCTGGAGCCCATGCATGTGGCGTCCAGCCGGCTCGGCGGCCCGGCCCCGCCCCCCCGGTGTGTGTTTTTTATAGGGCAGGGCAGCTGTAACCAGCACCTCCAATCTCATCTCATTGATTGGACTCCAGTTGGATTACATCTCACTCCAATTAGCTCTTGGAGATGTCATTAGTCTAGGGGTTCACATACTTTTTCCACCTGCACTGTGAATGTCTACATGGTGTGTTCAATAAAAACATGGCAACATTTCATTCTTTGTGTGTTATTAGTTTAAGCAAACTGTGATTGTCTATTGTTGTGACTTAGATGATGATCAGATCACATTTTATGACCAATTTGTGCAGAAATCCATATAATTCCAAAGGGTTTACATACTTTTTCTTGCAACTGTATATAACTACATCTTATTGTGGAATAGCTATCATGTTCTCTTTATGCTACCATCTATGTATATCACCCAAGTGTGACTGAAGACAAATGCCTCTAATCCATCCCTAGTAGCTACATGAAAGAGACTTAAAATTCAGCCTTTCTTCTAGTAGGCACTCCTCAGACTACTATTTTGAGTAAGTGATTGTTGGGTGGACTGAAAGAAAATATAAATGGAAAAATATATTTTATTGAATTGGGAAATGGAAGGGGTAACAAGATGTGGAGTGGTGGGTGAGTGAGCTACTGACGTTATAAGTAATTAAAAATACAAAAATAAGCCCTGTGCTCAAACCTCCATAACTCTGGTGTTGGCAGGAATGGTTATATTATTAAAGAAACACTATAGAGTCAGGAACACAGATATATTCCTTACCCTATAGTGTTTAACCCACCATTTAGGTGGCTTGCCCCCACCTAACCCCCTTAGAAGGGGTTAAAACTTACCTTATTTCCAGCGCCATGCGCATCCGCCGGCACTGGCCCCGATCCACCTTCTTAATATCCTCAGAACTGTTGATTTTTAGCTAATCTATTGTTTTCCCATAGGGAAGCGGGATGTGGGCGGAGCAGAACAAATCAATGCATCTCTGAGGTAAATTCAGCGTCCCTGTGCAGAGTGTGGAGACACTGAACGGCAGTGCTGCCTACTGTGCAGCGCTGCACCAGGAAGCGCCTCCAGTGGCCGTCTGAGGAGTGAACACTTGGAGGTGTCCCTAGTGTCAGGATTACAAGTTGGTCCAGCATGCAGTACTGTGTCACACCTAGGAATAAGGATACTGTATAACCGGACCTCAGAGTGGCCGGACTTAACGTATCCAAGAATAGTTAAAATACTTGCCGAGGTCAGGGACACAGAATCAGACACAGATGAGAGAGAGCCAAAAGTCAAGGATACCAGATTTTAGGAAAGTCAAAACAAAGTCAAATACCAGAAAATCAAGATCAGGAACACACTCTCTGATAACCATAGGCATGAAACCACGACAGGGCAATGAGCAAGAGGAGAATTGGGTTTAAATACCCCTCCTGTGGATCCGATTGGCTGTAACTGGCTTTTGACCCCAAAGGCAATTACCAGGTTTCCATATGCATGATTGCTGCTCAGCACAAATCCTCCTGTGGATTTGATTGGCCATGACCGGCCTTTGACCCCAAAAGTAATTTGGCCCAGGGCAATAATTCATCCCAGTTAGACTGTGTACTATTCACAAAGCAACGTAAAATACAGCTCAAGTGATTGGCTAGCTCTCTCAGCCGTACCATTAGTTTGGGGATGGCAAGCAGAGGAAAATGACAATTCAATGCCCAACTGTTTATTGAATGGCCTCCAGAACCTTGACACAAATTTTTGCTGCTCGGCACAACTTTTCCTGTCAGGACGGTAATGTCGCTCAGCACTAGTTTTCCTGTCAGGACAGTAAATGCCATTAACCACATTTTTATGTGCGGATGAATACGTGACATTACCCCTCCTCCCCCCCACCTGAAGACCATCCACCGGGCGGGCAGGACCAGGTTTGAGAGGAAACTTGGTGTGAAAAGAACAAATTTTACAGCCAGCATGGATATCAGAAGCTGAAACCCAAGAACGGTCAGCAGGCCCATACCCCCTCCAATCAACCAAATACTGAAAGGAGCCACTAGAAAATCTGGAGTCAATGATAGAGGAGACTTCGTACTCCTTCTGTCCAGAAACCACCAAAGGAGAAGGGGGAACAATCAGATTTGTGTACTGATTGCAAACAAGCAGTTTGAGCTAGGACACATGAAAAGTATTAGGTATTCGTAAGGACACAGGAAGGGCCGGAGAATAAGAAACAGGGGAGATTCTCCTAACCACATGAAAAGGACCAAGGAACCTCGGAGCAAACTTCATGCTGGGAACCTTCAACCTGATATTGCGTGAGGGTAATCAAACCCGATCACCCACCTGGTAAATTGGATTGGCACTCTGCCGTTTATCCGCATGAAACTTAAAGCAAACAGCCGCAGTTTCAAAAGTGGAGTGAAATTTAAGTCCAGGTATCACGAATAGAGGTAATGTGATCATCCAGAGTAGGGATAGCCGTATCAGAAAATACAGCAGGGAGAACAGCAGGATGACAACCCGTATTGACAAAAAACGGACTATGCCCAGGTGAATTATGGTTAGTGTTATTCCTTGCAAATTCGGCCCAGGGCAATAATTCAGCCCAGTTAGACTGTGTACTATTCACAAAGCAACATAAAATACAGCTCTCAGCTTTACCATTAGTTTGGGCATGGTAAGCAGAGGAAAATGACAATTCAATGCCCAACTGTTTATTGAATGGCCTCCAGAACCTTGACACAAATTTGAAACCCCTGTCAGACACAATATTTTGAGGAATACCATGTAGCCTGACAATATTGCGTATAAATATGTGCACCAGGTCCTGAGACGATGGCAATTTTTAAATGGAGTAAAGTGTGCCATTTTGGAAAAACGGACAACTACCATGAGGAAGGTAGTATACCCATTGGAACTAGGCAGTTCAACAATGAAATCCATCGATAAATTAGACCATGGGATACCGGGTATAGGAAGTGGCTGTAACAATCCACACGGAAGTTTATTAAGAACCTTCGAAACTGCAGAGACTGAGCAGGCTTCTACATAATCTATAATATCCCTTCTGAGTGACTAACACCAAAATGACCTGGAAATGGCGGATACAGTTTTATTAATACCTGGATGCCCAGCGGTCACATTGTCATGGGATACCTTCAGCACCTCTTTCCTGTTAGGCAATGGAATAAACAATTTATCTTGAGTTTTGTTGCAAGGTGCCTGGGGCTGAGCCGCCATGATAGCATGGAGCAAAGGGAACGATAAAGAAAGGACAGTGGATGCAATAATACACTCAGAAGAAATAATAGGGGATGTCTCTTGTTCTAGATCCGATTCAACGTCAAATCGCCTAGACAAGGCTTTAACGTTCTTAGAACCGGGTCTGTAGGTGATAATGAAGTTAAAGCGAGACAAAAATAATGACCATCTAGTTTGTCTAGAAGACAGTCGTTTGGCATCCCCAATATATGCCAGGTTCTTGTGATCAGTAATAATCAGAATGGGATCCTTGGAACCCTCCAAAAGATGTCGCCATTCATTAAACCTTAGTATGATGGCTAACAGTTCTCTATTACCAATGTCATAGTTACGCTTCGCAGGAGACAACTTTCTGGAGAAGTAACCACCAGGATGCAAAGGGGCGTCCTGACTCTCTCTCTGAGAAAGAACAGCCCCGACCCCTGTCTCGGAGGGGTCAACCTCAAGTAGGAAAGATTTACTAGTGTCAGGATGTCTTAATATGTCACCAGATGCGAATATTTGTTTATGAAGCTCAAATGCTTCTTTAGGCCATATAGTACAATTAGCCCCTTGCGTGTCATATTGGTGATGGGGGCTATTACCGAAGAGAAACCTTTGATGAATCTCCTGTAATAGAGTAACCAATAAACCTCTGTATGGCTTTTAACCCACTGGGCAATGGCCATTGTAGAACGGCCTCTAGTTTCTGGACGAATCAGTATTTAACAGGTGATATCTTTGGGTTATTTAAAACATCACTCGCGTGCCATACAAAATAATCAACTTAAAGATTAGTGTGCTGTATTTGGTCAAACATTGACTTACTACTAATGTGATGGCTGGAACTGTTTCTCTTTGGTGTGATGTTAGTTGGTATTGATGATGTTGCTACTCACAGTGTGTGTGTGTGTGAGGGTTGCAGTGTGTGAGGGGTGCAGAATGTGTGTGTGAGGGGGTGTTGTGTGTTGGGATTCTGTGTGAGTGTGAGAGGTGCAGTATGTGTGGGGTAGGGATAAGGCTATCCTACATATAAGATAAAGCAAGGGACTAATGAAAGTATTTTGAAAATTAGGCAGACTAAATAGGATGAATGTTTTTTTCTGCTGTCCCATTCTATGTTTCTGTGTTTCTCACCTGTAGTGTAGTGTGTGTCAGGGGTCTATATTGTGGTTGGAGGGATCAGGGAGAAAATCTATACTTTTACTTAAAAAAAAAAAAAGAGGAAAAAAATGTATGCACCCTTCCCCCCTTCCTTCTTACCTCTGGTCTGGAAGGAGAGGACATATTACTGCAAGCCCTGGTGTTCCAGTGGTTTCGTGTGCACCTTAGCCTGCAGCTCCTCCGGCTGCAGGCTGACTCCACTCTTTTCTTCCCGCGAGCACAGCGCAGTTTGAGCGTTGCCATGATAATACATGGCAATGCTCTGACATGGGCGTCCGCAGGGGGGGGGGCAAGGGGGGGCACTTGCCCCCCCCTGGATTTTTCAGCTTGTTCTGCTATTTTTTGTGATTTAAAATGAACTGCAATACCGGCGCCGGCCAGTAGATGGCGCTGTGTATGGAGAGAGACAGGGATAGGAAGCTACATCTTATCCCTGCTTCTCTCTGCTGATTGAAACCGCAGGGGAACAACACATGCAGCCAGAGACAGCCTACAGATCAGGTAAGTGAGGGATGGGGTGGGGGTTTGAGATAGCCTATAGACTTGGGGGGGGCAGCAGCCTATAGACTTGGGGGGGGCAGCAGCCTATAGAC